CCCAAACCAGACTGCAGCTGCTCAAATACCGCATTCATGTGAAGTCATGACCAGCCAAAGACCAGGTCATACACCCACATATGATCTTAACCCCAAAGCCTCAGAAAAGGTCTGCCTAGGTTGCTGCACAGGACTTATTCCACCCATAGATATAGCCAGTAAAGGGTGGTAGGAAGGTACTCCTTTTGGATGATAACATATGGCAAGTAAGATCTTCCATAGCCTAAGAGGAAAGCCACAGTGTTTCTAATTCAGAACCAACCTGAGATATGCTCTTGAGCTTGAGGTACCTTTTGTGGTGTGCACAGCTTCCTCCTCCAAGGATTCTCTTTTGTGAGCCTGTACTCATCAGCCTTCTTCAAACATCAGCCCTTTGCTCTCCATCAGACATGCTGCAGGTATATGACTGTGTACTTTTCATTTCTTTCAAATTTTCCAAATTTGGAACAGGGACTACTCAAGCAGATGAATTCAGGGAATGTGGAGAGCACATCTTAATTACCCTGGAACTGATTCAAACTTTTGAAGAAGTGCTACACTGGGTTACCTCAGATCCAGACCTGGTTTCACAATCACCAACTTTCTTACTGTATTCATCCACCAGAACACAGAAAGTGTTACAGTTCGGTACAGTCATAAACACATCATTGCCAATGGAAAATTGTGTTGGCAGTTTCTCTTATACTCAGCCAAATATACAGAAATGGAAAGGTCAACTGTGCAGGCACTGGTTTTACATATGTGCATTAATTACAACACAGTTGCCTTTTGTTATTCATTTCATCTGCTCAATATGTATCAAATTGAATGAGAAAGAGGAACCACAGAAAGACAGAAAAAGGAAGCCAGGAAAATCGATGAATGGGACTGGTCCTCCCTTTCTGGATCACACACTGGAAAAGATTCAAAACTAGCCAATTGCAGGGAATGGGAAAAGCAAAGGGAAGTGTATCCCCTGTCTGCTACAGCTATTTCTGTAAGGCTTTCAGAGGTCTGCCACAGAGGCACTTGAATAGTTCAGTGGTCTCAGCTTCTTGGTGAACCCCTACAATGGGGATTTTCTCAAGCAAGGTCTGTGTGTTCAGGCACTCTGGTATGTTCTTCTTAAGTATACAGCCATGGTCCTGATTTTAATTAGTCAAAACTTTTTTTCATTAAGCACCATGACACACATACACACTTTTTGGGGATACCTGCCTTCAGGCAATGCTGGAAACTGTGAGAAAGAGAATACTGAACAATGTAATCAGAGAATTCAGAGCATTTGCATTCATGTGTGGCTTGAACACTTTTGGTTATGATCGAGTATGAAAAACAGACAGCATAAGGTAATATGTGGTTAAGAAACTGAGTACAGCTTTCATGATTCTAGCCTGCACACTATTCCTCTCACAGATGTATTGTAACTGTATTTACCTGACAGTGCAGTGCCCAGATACCCTAGGCAAAAGGATTTCCACTGTCAAAGATGCATCACAAAAGTTGTCAAAACCTGGCTACTCTCTTCCCAGAACAAGAAAGATGAATGCTGTGAAAGAATCACAGAGTAAGACACAACTTCCCCAGGGAACACACGGTAATGAGCATGAGCACTGCAATTAGACTCGCTGAGACTGAGTTACCAAAGCCTCCCAGCTAGGCCAACCTCCTCCTTCAGCTTCACGTAGTGTCTCACGGTGTTGAGTTGTGGGAGTCCCCATTGCATCCACCTAGTTAAACCCTTTTAGTCACAGGAGCTTTGTGCAAGTGAGGAGAACGTTCTGCTGTGCTACGCCTCCCTAAAACCCCTGAGCCAGGGGCCTCCAGGATTGTCCAAAATATCACAGTACTGCAAAAGAGAAAACAGTTGCAATTAATAATTGTAACTTAAAAACTTACATCCTCAGATGATTAATACAAAGTGAATATTCCATGGTTTATAATATATTTCATTATATACATATGAAAAGTAAGTTACATAGAATAAGCTGTATAGCCAGCCCTGTACCAGAAGGAAGTCCCCTTTCTGGTCTTCTAGGATTACCCAACAAAATGGCTTTGCTGAGTGCTTAGGAAGTAATTTCATAGGAAGGCTCAGTCATTTGGTATATATTGGATACTGCTATTGACTTGTAGGAACATGAAAGAAAAGTGGCAATGAGCTAGAACCTCTTTGGCAAGCAATAGACCTTGCTGAAACTGTTCTTGTCTCTTTCCAACTATCCTGCAAGAACCTCAGATAAAACACCAAGTCCAGAGTGAATATAAATTGGGCTGTGCATTTGTAGTGGACTTGTCGAGATCAAATTTGTATGGATGTTCTTTAATCCTTTGATCTATGTTGCAGGGGGGCAGGCATTTACCATAAGAAAGATGGATGATCATATTAAAATTTTCCATTGGTATAGTAGTTTCAATTCATTACAGAGCCTCACAAGAGCTGCACTGATACCAGCCTAACAGGAGGTGCTTAGTCAGTGTCTTGGTTTGAAAAAACAGTTGTCTGCTAAGAAAGGCAGGAGCCTCCCTTGAATTCGAAAATGTAAATCCCCTCCCTCCAAATTATGATAATTTTGAAATTAAGGAGCTCTCAGGCAAAGATATGGGAATAGGAATAACAGTTCTTTACTAGGAAAATTAAAATAAAAATGCAGCAGTACAAAAAAAGCCCTGACAGAATCAGAATACAACCTGACACCCTGTTGGTTAGGGCATTGGTAACAGATTAAATGGTGGCTGCCGTCCTTTTGGAGTGACAGATGTGGTTCTGTTGAAGCAATGATCCCATAGATGCTGTAGAATGGTGTAATTTTCTTCTGAACGTCCAGTAGTATAGATGGGTCCAGTCTTCCTCTGGTAATCCAGTGGAAAATTGCTGCTTGTGGTGTTCTAATTCTCAGATTATATCCAGGTAGGAATGCTTGGCTCTTCCCCCTAGGTGGAGCATCTCGAAATGGGATGATGTAATTTTATCAGGCAGCAGTGAGACTCAATGGCCCATTAACAGAAGATATCCCTCAGTTATGAGGGATGGGTCATGGAAGAGATAAAGGGCACTGCCTCACCTGGTTTTAACAGATGGTAATAGAATACCTACTTTTGGTTTCATCTTGTGTTGCAACCTAAGACAGCTAGTGAGCTACATTTTAGAGCTTCCCTGTGGGGGGATTTCTGCAGCCCCCAAAATAATATTAACTGCATGTACACAAGCAATAATGTGGTGCCTCTACCCTGCTCTCTGTAGGTTGCAATTGTCTATACGCTCTACATTTTGCTAGCTTTCTTTTAGTTACCATATTTTGTATGCTTTTAAGGGATGGGCTGAATCCTGATTAGATACTTCCTTGTGTATTATCACAAGCAGGTGTGGGGTAGTTGAGAGTTTTTTTGAGTAACTGATTACTAATTTGATGCAAAAATTAAGTAACCATACAAGAAACTACTATTTAGCTGCAAAAGCATGACTAAATAACAAGGAAGGATTTGGACCTTGAATGCCTCCCTTACCTGCTGCTAGCAGAGTGATATGTCAGAAGCAGGTAGCAGCTCTGTGATGCCAGTACATCTTTATATGCTGTTCACATTCCATTGCAACATGTCAGATTTGATATGGCATAATGCAATGTGACTAATTTAATCAGACGTGAAGTGCACTACAGCAATGCATCAAGTCTGAAAATTTGGGGAAAAAAAAAAAAAAAGTTGGAGGAAAAAATAAAGCTTTTTCTAATCCATGGTTGGGTTATTTTTCTCAGCTGGAGGGCTTCATTTTCTGAGCTTGGCCTTTTCTATTCTGACCTTCCAGCCAAGGGCATGTGCCAGGAGGCTTGTATTTCCCAAAGGCAGTGACACAGTCTATTAGGTCATATGAGCTGGATCATCAAGCCTTTGTCCACCTCAACTTCTGGGCCACCATTCCTTACCCACCCCCACATCCCCCAGCACTAACTCATGATACGATGCCCTTGCCTTTGACAGGTCAGGAGGGGAAAAAGCATTTTATTGCTGAACACGTACATAGCAGAGCCCAGAAATGAAGCGAGCTTTCTGTGGTCTGGTGCTAGTCACATAGTAAGTCTGCATTTAATTAGCTACTTCTGAAATATGACAAAGAGAAAACACAAGATTTGCCAGTCTGGTTGCATTTCTAACCCAGGCCTCAGAATTGTTTTGTTTTAAGGTGGTGATTCTAATCATAAATATCAAAACAGCCCATGTCCATGGGAAGTTCATCAAAATTTCAGTACTTTTGGAGTATCCACCCTCATCCATTCTGGACTATCTCTTAGCCTGAGGGTCTGGGGATGGACAGGCTATGATGCAGAAATTAGCAACTCTGCCCTTTCAAACACTGAGTGACAAGTGACTCGGAGATGACTCTTTCTTTGGTTTAGTTCCTTATTTTAGAGCTGCCTCTTCTTTTTGTATGTTACCAAGGATATGGAAAGCAGTGCAAATAGTAATTTTCCTCTTCGTCACTATAGGCCTGAGGGCTTTTTTTGGTTAACTGTTGTGGTCCTCAAAGAGTTGTGAAAGGGTCTCAGAGGAGTTCACAAAGTGCTATAAGAAGCCTAAGAAACTCTTAAGCTAGGGAAAATCTATGAGAAAAGTGGGGGGCTGTGCAAGGTAGTCGAGAAGGAAGAGTGTATTTTCACAAGATCTGGGAGATAGTGCCACCTAGAACAGAGGAAGAAGTACCTGCTCCAGTTTCTATTCTTCCACAGAATAGGACTGAAAGAAAATCATAGAAAACAGTATGATAAAACATGCTTTTATGTTATTAAGAAGTAAAAACTATTTATTTTGCCCTTGTCCCTGTGCTGAGCATACCTCAGCCAAATGAGAAGTTCACCCTTCTTTCTTTGCCTCTTTAAGGACAAGGAAACATTGTGACGTTTTACTTCTTTAAGATCCAAACATCACAGACAGGTTTTGTAGGCTCTCTTCTCATTTCGTTAGGCTTTGCTGATTACAAATGAGAAGATGCTGTGTTAGCTCCTCCTCCAGTGGTTTGTCTGCTACTTATAGCCACAGTCCTCTCCCCTTCCTCCATCAGTGGGGTTACCACTGTGCTCCTGTCTAGGAAACAAGAAAGGCGGTGCCTTCACCAAGAAGTAAGGCTAAATTGCAAGGTAAGGTCTGGTTGTGCTGGAAAAGTTTTGTTGGTGTTGATTTAGCCCCAAGACTTTCCTTTTGCTTTGTAATGTATGAGGTAAATGTGAGCTTTTATAGCTCTTGGACTCTTTTCCCATTTTCTTGTGAAACCAGTAACTTTGTGATAGGTCCCCTGTTCATTGACCTTTACCCTTAGCTTTAGGTGGACCTTATTCAAATGGCTCAACAGCCCAGCCCAAGAGCCCTGGGTCCCCCTGGGGAAGAGGATGTTGCACCAGACAGCCAAACCCAACTACAGCCTGTCAGACCTCGGCCAGTTAGATCCCGGAGAAGAAGGCGTAGGCAGGCAGCTCCTGCATCCCGAGAAGAAGATGAACCTAGGACCTTTCAAGGTGATCTGTGGGAAAGGGGTAGTTGTGTTGGGTGAGGAGGAGAATGAGTGTTGCTTAACTTCAGTTGCTATTCCTTGTTTGTCTTCTCTGTGTCCATACAGGAAACTCCCTTGAAATAAGGGTTTAAAAGTAAAAGAGCTCTAGGTGATACCCCTATGGCTGTCCTGTTAGTGTTTTCAGAACTGCTGTTTTCTGACCTGCACAAAATTTTGTTTTGTTTCCTTGCTATGGCTCTCTTCTTCAAGAGCTAAAACTTCCTGTTGACTTTCAAAGAAAGCAGAGAAATATCATCTTAGAGTGCTTACTCTAGAATTCCTTCTTTTATGTGAAATATGTCTGGCACTGAAACTTAAGGTATCTTTATACAGTGCTTGGAGTTAAGGCTGAGTGGAGTAGCCATAAGGCCAAGGTTTGAATGGAGTTACTTACCAGACAGCAATGTTACCCTCCCACAATGCAGCTCAGCTCTGTAGCTCACCAAGAGCAATGTAGAATCCACTGAGTTTGTACCTACCCAGTGTGAATTGAAGTTAGAGAAGGAACAGCACAATAATTTGCTACTGGTTCTTATCTTGTGGAAGCCAAAGTCTTCTTTCTAGCAGAACTGCAAGGCAAGGATGCTGCCAGGTATATAACAGGTAGGCAGCTAGTTTCTAGACACTATAGCCAGCTTACATGTGCAGGAGGCCTCCTAAATTTCAGAGGTGTTTTATACACATAGACCTCCTCTCATGAGGAGGCAATCTTCCTGGCCAGCTCATGGAGAACTCCAAATACCCTTCTGTGCTTGCTCTTCAGAGTGGTGGGAGTTCCCGTAACCTGGGAGCAGGTTTGATTGTGTAACAAAAACCCTTTTCAAAGGCCACAGCTGGGCCTTGATAAAGATTATCTGGGAAGGTTGTGTAGCAATATTTCAAGGTCAGAACTCCCTTTCCTCAGTACTTCTGAGATGATAGAAAGACCACAAAGAAATAGAAACCAAGAACTGGTATATTGGAGGGGTGGAGGATGTGGAGAGACAGAAGTGATAAAAAGAGCCAGGAGTAAATCAAATGAGTTAAGCTTTTGAATGAAATTTAAAAATAAAGTATTGATGCTCAAGAAAGGTTTGTAGTTAGGTTTTTACCTTCCTTCAAATTTTTTTTTCCCCCTAGTCTTCTGCTAAAGTTATCATGCTAGATGGTTTGCAGGACTGTTGCAGTGGTTTGTGTGGTGCTGGGAGAACACTGAAATCCAAGAGCATTGTGGTCCTTGTCCCCAGCTTTAGTTCCAACCTTAGTTAACCAGAGCATGAGGTTTCTCTGCTCTTACTGGCAAGACAGGAAGGGCTGTTTTCACAACAGTAGAGGACAGCAAAATGAAGTGCAGTTATTTCTTAATGCTGACCTTGGAAAAATGATGCCAAATCTTGTGATAAGCAACTTATTTTCTCAAAGGCTTGTCGTGAGGCTGCGGTAAATGGTACGAGACACCTTTAAAATATTTATTGACTAGGTGATGTATGGACAATCAGGTACAAGCCTTTTCTTAACTTTGGGTCTTTTTGTCTTGTTCTGCTTGATCTAATCTTGTTGCTTTCTCTGCAGTCTACAAATTTAGCAGTCGTGCTCCACCTGTGAGTGGGCATGGTAGTGGTGGAAGCTCTCGGACTCCTGCACTGCCTGATGATGGAAATGTTATGGGAATGATGGCTAGGTCTGCCAGATACTGGGTGAAGCGAGAACCTCCTCAATGTTGGGTCAGAGGCTGCACCTGTGCTTGTTCAGAGACTGATCTAGAAGAAGGTCATCCTTCTAGATCTAGGCCACATCATCTAGGTGAAGACAACAGCTCGACCTCCATGATTAGAGGGGAATTATTTTCAGAGGATGAAGACAATGATGGGAACACTGGGACAGCCAGCTCTTGGGCTGGTGTTAGAAGTGATGATCATCCCAGGAGTTTTGCAGAGGAGTATTCACTGGTTCCCTTAAGCAGACGAAAGCAGTACTCTGCCCAGACTTTTCATGAGGCAGTAGAAAGATTTTTAAGAGGGTTCTGAGCTTTGGCACATCTGTTTTGAATTTGGGAGCCAAATCTGTGGAGATGCAAATGCCTGTCATCATGTGCACCGTTTATTGTAACACAGGCTGAAGCTGGCAAAAAAGCCATGAAGGTTCAAATAGAGCAATATACTGAGCTTTACTATTAGATTGACAGACAAAGTTATTTGCATTCCAGTTTTGTCTCCTTGATATGTGTTGCTGTCGTCTTCAGGAGCTTAAAAACCTTTAGCAATCATAAGGCATTAAAAATGGGAAAATTACTTTGAGTCTAAGCTAATGTAATGATTATTTATTTTGCAATTTAAAGTTATAGAGGCAAAATGCAGCCTTTTTTTGAATTTCTCAGCAGTGGAGGCTCTTCTATTTAATAACTGCTTGAAGGATATTTGGAATTCAAAGCTTTTGTTTATTCCAGTATTTCCTTTCACTAAATGCTTTAATTTACTCTATAGAGGCCTAGAGGGTTTGGTATTTTTATTGGTGTGTTTTTTCTTTAACTTGATCTAAATCTAAAAATTGTATTCTACTGCATATGTTTGATTATTCATATATAAGCAGTTATGTATGATAATGTGAGATAGCTAGAGCACAATCTGCTTAAAAAAAATCTCACACCCTTCAGCTGTTAATTTGTCACATGAATTAAAAATTAAAAAAAATAAAAATGTGTTCTGAGGAACTTACCAGAATTTTCAGTTCTTTTTAAGATAGTATGTACCTGAAAATAATGATCTGGATTTCTCAGCTGAGAAATTTTGGCTTAGACATTTTTCCTTTATTTAGTTAAGGGCTAGATTTTAGGTGTATATACCTGAGCCTAACAGTAAAATGCTAGTGCATGGTTACTGGAAAATGGCCATACTTCAGGAACCTGATCCATGAGGATCATGTGAGACTAACTCCTGGCAGGGACAGGCCCCAAAAATCATGCTAGGTGCCTGAGAATATTGTCCAAATGCTTCTTCAACTCTGTCAGGCAGGTGCTGTGATCACTTCCCTGGGGAGCCTGTTCCAGTGCTCAAGCATCCTCTGGGTGAAAAACCTTTTTCCTAACCTAAATGTTCCCTGACATAACTTCATGCAGTGTTCCCTCAGCTCCTGTTGCTGGTGACCAGAGAGAAGGGCTGTGAGCTGCTTTGAGGTTTGCCCCTAGTCAAAGGAAAAAAGACTGCCCATGTTACAGAGATTCTGCAGACATTTGTTCTAATGCAATGTACTGACAAATCAAACACCTAACCTCTAAAGGCTTCTGGGCTTTAATTAATATACCTACAAGCTTAGAATTGGGCATATGCCTTCTCTTGAGTCTCCTCCTTTCATACCAGAGGCTGTATACATATGAGGTAAACATTACATGTGTGTAAAGTTACACTAAAGAGGATCAGGCAACTCCTGCTTTATAAAATTGGTCAAACTGAGAAAGGCTGCTGCTTTAGAGCAATTTGCAGACTCTGAAAATTAGAGGGGTGTTTTTTTTGTTAGTGTTTGGGTTCTTGTTTGGTGGGGGTTTTTTTCCCTTCTCTAGCCATCTGTTGAAATGCTGAAAGATGAATGGTAGTTCTATTTGTTTCTGGGAAAGGTGAATGTGATTTGTTCTTCCTTCTTCATTTGAGCCCCAAATTAAGTCTCATTCCTCTACGAGATAACTGAGCAGCTTTCTAGAGCAAATCACACAAAATTTTAAGTTTTTGGTTTTTTGGTTTTTTTCTGCATGTGTGGTTTGTTAGCTTGGGTTTGTTTTTAAGACTTTTCTGAACTACACTACTACTGAGATTTTTTTCTGTACCTGTTAGTAAGGCATTTAGCAAATCTTTGGGACCACCTGGTGCAGCAGTAGTCAAGCATTTGGTAAAAAACATTTGGACTATGCAGCATAGCAGTGGTTGCTTATTCTTTCTTGATATGCTTGTTATTTTCTGCTTGGGTGTTTCCAGATGTACTTTGAGATTTTTCACTTGGGTCCTTTAAGGCCCCTAGACCAAAAAATGGAAATTTTTCCCCAGCTGAAACTAACAGTGTCTTTTATTTGGTCTATATTACATCAAAACAGTATTGGAAGTATGCATAGTTCAATTCACCTGACAAGCCTGCTCTGTGAAGGTACTGCAGGGTACGATGCAGAATTAAAACTATTATCTTGTTGTTATAGCTGAAATACTGTAAGGCATCTACAGACACCTCTAAAATTGTGCCCTTGATTATATAAATTTCAGAAAGTGATATGCTCATGAAATTCAGCCTGGCAATGTTTCATGTAGTCTTTCAAGAGCTTTAGTTTTTCAGGCTCATGAAACATTTTATTTTTTTTTTAATAAAACAAAACCCCTCATAAATGTCACCAGTAGGTAGTAAGATACCATGCATTGTAGAGGTGTCAGCTTTTTGACAGCATGATTCAGTATTGTGCATTTTCAATTTGACAACTATTTAGTTTTTCCTTGTGAATCTGAGGTCCTGTAAGCATTTTTGTGCATACTTGTCTGTTTTTCACAAATGATTCTACAACTGGGATTTTTATCACATGTTGAGTTAAACACAGGTAGAAAGGTCTGAAAGATCAAGACCTCTGAGGAAAAATCCTCTCAGAGTAACTTCTGAGGAAAAAAAGCCTGTGAGGCAGTAACTTCAGATATTTTGTAAGAAAAATAGATCAAGCAAAGCTGAGAAACAGCTTGGAAAAAAATAATTAGCTGTCTCTTGAAAAAAAAAAATAGATCAGAGAGGATAATATGTTGGGGTTTTTTTGAGAATCTGAATTGCTGTGCTGCTTTTACATTTGGCCCGCACTTATGTGCCTGTTTGTATATATGAGTGAAGTCAAGGACTTCAGGACCAAAGTCCAGTGCTGCATGGCAGCTCCCATGAGTCCAGAGTTTCTCATGTTGCTGACCTTTAAATCATTATTCTCTTCCAGCATGGCGGTTATATAATGTCTCATCAGCTCATTACATGGGCACAGTAATAAAATGGCAAGATTTACTTTTTAATTATTCATCCCAGAATAGAATAACAGATTAATAGATAAAACAATGTAGCACAAAGCTGGCTAGCCCTTAGAATATGAATGCATCAGGGTTCCATGTATATGCTGTGTTTAAAGGTACATTTTAACTTTTACATTGTTGCAGCATTACTACAGCTGGCACCTGTCCTTGATTCAGCCAAGAGAACTTGAGTATCTGGATGCCAGAGGACTGTTTGCTCTCTCCAAATATTTTCTTTTTCTTTTCTCTATTTGGCTTCCTTTTCTTGGTCTGATCAAGGATCTGTGAGAACAGGTGTCCCCATGGTGCTCTTTTATACCTTGCCTACATCTGTAGAGGTATGTGTATTTCCTTCAACTAAGAGCTGGCAGGAATTGGAAGGTTTGAAAAAGGAGAACAATCTCAGTGAACTTGGAGGGCAGACTAAAATCTCTTGAGCTTAGAGGCTGTCTTTTTTCTGCCTTTCCATCATAATTGATTCAGTGGGGCCCTGATCCATGACTGGGGCTCTAAAATAATATAAATGATTGTGACCTGTTAGAGCGAGGTCAGAGGAGACCATGAAGATGATCAGAGGGCTGGAGCACCTCTCCTATGAAGACAAGCTGAGAGCTGGGGTTGTTCAGCCAGTAAAAGAGAAGGTTCTTGGGAGACCTTAAAGCAGGCCTGCAAGAGAGCTGGAGCAGGACTTTTTACAAGGGAAATTGTCAGGACGGGGAGAATGGTTTTAAACTGAAAGAGGGCAGGTTTAGATTAGTTATTAAGAACAACTTCTTAGCTGTGAGGGTGCAGAGGCACTGGAACATGTTGCCCAGAGAAGTTGTGAGTGACCACAACTGAAGTGTTCAAGGTCAGGTTGGATGGGGCTTTGAGCAACTTGGTCTATCTAGTAGGAGGCATTCCTGCCTATCACCATGGGAGTCAGAACTGAATGATCTCTAAGTTTTTTCCAACCCAAACCATTTTTTGGTTAATAATTTCATTGCAGTAGTGTCCTTTCCCTTCCCCACATTCAGCTGACATGTAGAAAGACAGTTCACAAACTACTGAGTTTTTCTGTGCCTTTCTCTATAGTCAGTAGACTTTTTTCACTGCTCTGAGTAAAAAATCGAGACCATCTTCAGTAAAGGATCAGGAGTTGTGTTTCAAGATTTTTTTCTTTTGACTGTTTTTAAACCAATCTGTCCATGCCTACTTAGAAAGATCCAAAGAACCTGTGTCAAAGTGTTAGCTGAAGAGCTACAAATAGCATTTTATTTCTTTTTCCCCACCTCCTCCCCCCAATAACTCTATTGTTCTTATAAATCCACAGCATTCCAGCTGTGACTTGACAAGAGCCCTGACAGTCACAAAAGCCAAATCACAGGAGCAGTGTTCTTGTTCCCTGAATTATTTTGCACAGCTAAATTTAATACTTCCCCCCACTCCTCCACCTTTCACTCTGGCAGATACTTAAGCTGCAAATTAGAGATGTTCCGAATTAGCCTTCAAACCTCGCAAACGCTGTCAGAGAGCTGACTCCGTAATGATGTGGCTCTGATATCAAGCAGATTATTGCTTATGTACGGCGGCACTTGCAAACATGTGTGTACTTGTAAGTGCTGGCCCCGGTGCCGCGGGGCGGCCGGCAGGTCATTAATGTACAGTGCGCGCAGGACAGAGCCCCGCCGAGCCAGCCACCGCCACGCCGGAGAGGAAGAGTCAGACTTTCCAACAACCACTTTCAGCTGGCAGAGCTGTGATTGGAACCATGTGACGGTTTGAGGCAATGTACCACAGGCAGCCAATTTATTACATATGGCAATTTGATTAATGGTATCAAATGTTTTTATAAAAAAATAATAATTTTAAAGGTCCAAGAATATCGCAATGGCCAGTTGCGCGGAGTCCAAGGAAGTGCAAGTCTGTTCCATGAATTTAAAGGCAAGCAGATGAGGTTAAATGAGAGGGAGAGAGGCAAGATAATGATTACGGAGTAAGTTTCAAAAAGAAAAGTGTGTAGAATGTGCTCATGAGCAACAGCCCCTTTTCTCTCCTGTCTTACGGCCTTAATAGATATAGGCTGGAATAGGTCTCTGAAACTGAACAGCCTCTTGCTCTTAACCTCTCTTCCTGTAATCCAAAGACTCATTAATGGTATCCAACCACACTTACAGGGCAAACAACAGCAGCTTAAGAGGCAAAAAAGACTGTCATTTTGGTGAAGACTGTTTGCTTTGATAATGATTTTGTCTTTTTTTTAATCAAATGTTCTGGTTTAAAACACAGATGGTTGGTTTCTGTCAAGACAAACAAAAGTGTTAAAGGTACTATTATTGGGGGGAGGGAAATCAGGAAATGCAAGTATGGAGGTGATGTCTGCACATTGCAGTATCTTTCTTCCCCAGTCTCTTTCTGTCTATCCCACTGAGTCAAAAAGTTGTGGCAGTTTTGGTCTGTGTCAGGTGCCCAGACCTGAGCTGGGCACAGCTGGGGAGTCTGCACAGCATAGATGGAGTTCCTCAGAGTCTGTCTGCAGAAGACTGTATTGCTTCTGGAGGGTGGCAGTGGATGCAGGTTGGCTTGTGCTGGTGTGCCTCCATGCTACAGAGCAGTCCTAAACACCTGTCTGTTGCTAGTGGTGGCACAGCTAAAGTTGTTATGAATTATGCCCACCTAAAAGGTTTCACACGTGCC